TAATCGCCGTAATGGATACGGCGTCGGCGCTTGGGGGTGAATGCTTGCGGTAGTTCAGCACGTATGGACGATTACGAACGAACACGTGCAAACTACGCTTTCGCTGCGGCGAAAAGCCGTGTAAAGCGCTGGGCCTCGCTCGTCCAACCCGTCTTGCGTCAAACGGCCGCCATTGTAAAAAAAACACCCCTAGACGTGTGATCGCAGAACGAAGTACACGCTCAAAGATGTTCATTTTACACGAGACCTCGGGTGCAAACGAAATACACCGAGCCTCGCGTGTAAAACGAACACCATTTGGGGAGTCCGCCCTGGGACAACGGTTTACACGTCCAGGGGTGTACTTTTTCGCTGTGTGTGTGGTTGATTTGATACACCGCGTTCGGCTTTGGCTAGCAGACGGCGTTCGTAAAATGGCGTCAGCTGTTGCTGGCTTCACGCGGCGGTACCGTGCGTGCTTGTATTCATTCGGCGTTCATTGCCATGGTGACGGCGAGGAAAGCAGACGAACTTTATGATGCGGAAGGACGCTGCGGCGCAGCGATACCAGGTGCGCTCTAAGGCCCTTCCCGCATGCTTTTCAAGGGGCGGAAGGCGAACAAAAAGAGTTCGAAGTAAGGACTTAACGCACAAGGCTGCATTTCTCCAGCGCCTCATAGTTTGACGAGCCTTGCACGAAAAGCATGTTTTTAGACCGGAGTTTGGAGACAGTTTGTTTTACAACAACATGGGTCTAAACTTTAAAGTATCAATGTGCCAAGATCCTCGCGCTCCAAATTTGCGACCGGGCACTCCATGGCTCTGTCATCGAGGTGCCAGGCTTTTTGAGTATAGAGGAATCTGTGCACTGACCAAAGTTGCTCAATTACCTCATTTGTGAAACTCCCGCCAAAGGGCCCCCCCCCCCCCCCCCCCCCCCCCTCGCTCACTTCAGTTCGACTCCCGTCGTTTGAAGCGCAATTTAGATTTTCGTCTGAACACTGTGTGTTCCATAAAGTACGGTGGAACGCCATCTAGACGCTGTGCTTCGAAACGTGCGTATTCAAAGACGTTTAAATATGACAGGTCCCGGCATGACGTCATGCCCAGCGAGGCCGGAAAAGGAAACCAATCCCAGACTGCTTTGCGCATCAACGCGCTCTCATCTAAACTAAATCCAACCAAGCTCCCAGCGTCATCTCGCCACTCGGACGACGGCTTTAGGTTTAGGCCACGTCTGCTCTGTGCCTGCGGTCTGCTTCGTGTGATCGCTGTCGCGGCTGGCTTTCGATTCGATTGGCACAGCAAAAGACGTTTCGATGCGAGCCCACATTCTCATCACGGCAGAGTGAAACCAACACTTTCCGGAAGCAGGGTTTGTACGGCTTCCTTAACCCTCGGTGCCATTCTCAGCATTCGTGCCTACGACGACTGACACGTGATCGCTTTCAGAAGCCGCGCTATGGCGACCATGGAGAATATAAGGGCAGAAGAGGTCATGACGTCAGTCGCGTAGCCTCCACAAGCCATGCTCCCTTGACGCCTTGCCTCATTCTCATTTTCCTCCTTACTCTCACCACGTCACGTGACCGTAGCTAGCCTTCGTCTAGCCTTCAATCTGATAAAACCTACCGGACGGAGCGCGCCCAAGCCTGCAAGGAATCCTCCTACAATCAACCATCCATCTCGCACGTGACATGTCACGCGCACCAATCGCCAGACAGATCTGCGGTCACGCTGGGCACAAAATCGTTTAAACTTTTTATGACTAGGCTTCACCAATATTGCAAGGTGCCCCATCCTAGTACTTCTAACCTCCTTGATGACGACTCTTTCTAGACGGCGCTCCAGGCGCGGTGTCGATAACGTTTGTTACACGCCGACCTCCTACTGGTCAGGCGAGTGTAGGGCTCCAAATCTCGCCTGTTCGACACCAATTCAGTAGACGCCGCCATGAAAGTATGGGGCAAACAACAGCGTTGCCACGAAAATGCCATGGCAACGAGGGTTGTTTGCCCCAAAAATCAATGGCGGCATCCATTAGCGAGCTCCCCATTGGTTGAAAAAATACCGTTACTCCTCGCCCCGTGCATTGGACACAGAGACGCCTCCTCCTGCCCATTGTAACCTCCTTGTACTGTGGTGCCTAGAACGCGTCTCCGACTGGTGTTCTTGCCGCGTCCAAAAAACGTGGTCCCTCGATCTCCTCTTGATGACGTCATAGAAGTGTCATGCTGTCGCTGATTGCGACGCCTGGGACGCCGGGACGACAGCGACACTTGCGTCCGCTCGTGCTTTTCGCCGTCATTTCTTTGACCAACTGCCAGGATCGCGACATGCAACCGCGTGACACCTGGCTCCTGTGACGTCATTTGTAGCCACTTCGGGACCATTTTTGATGTATGGGCGGGAAAGGACGCTAAACACAACAGTCAGGGACGCGCTCCAGGCACCCTACTTGTGTATATTTTATAGAATACACTGCAGTTAAAGGCCGACGTACACTTCGCGCTTTTCACTTTTGCCCTCCCCTCCTTTTCTATATCCTCTTTACTTTTAAGCTTGTCCTAACTTTGCTCCCCTCGCAGCTTAGGAAGGGGGAGCGCTAACAGGATTATCTTGCCTGCAGAAAACCGAGGTTGTACGTCGGCCTTTAAGGCCGAACCACATAGGACATATTTTCGACGCATTTACGGGGCGTTTCGGCCGACGTAAACCCCACGTCCCAGACAACACCAAACGTCCCTCGGACGTCCTAAAAACGTGCGAACGTCCCACGTCCCATTGCTGACGTCCTGCGGACGTCCCACGGATGTCCGGGGCGGCATAATCCGGAACACGTCCCAGCGCGACTGTGATCAGGACACGCATTTTTTTTGTTTGTTTGTTTTGTTTTGACGATTACAGCAGCGGCTTCACGCACTGTCACCGCACAAGATCGTGGCTCGTATTGCAATCGTCGCTTTTGGTTCAGCCGTTAGAAAAATCTGTTTCAAGTTATTTTGGGTTTTGATCATCCGCGCTTGCCGTACAGTCGGCGTACGCGCCCCTACAAATTGCACCGCCCTTTCTCCGCAATAAATGTGCCGGCGTGCAACCACGGCGAACGGAGGGAGCCAAAAACAGAAAAAGCGACCTATCGTATTTCTTGAGTCTTGTCGCCAACAGGATCACTCGCGTTGCTTCGCAGACACACCAAGAGCAAGAGCGATAGTAAAAAGCCTAAAGGCAGCTCTTTTAAATTCTCAGGCACACAAGAACAAAAATTATGTTAAAAAATGAACCGCTTTAAATACATTCGAAAGCGGAACTATGGCGAAACCGAAACGGTCCTAAAACTCGGTTAGTTTCTATTTTTAATTTCACATTAATCATTTTTATACCATATATTTATATATTTTTACAAATTATTTTTTTTTAAAAATAAAACATAGATAATTACATTAGTGAAATTAAGTAATTCAGGCAGAGCTTTCAATCGCCACCGCTGTGCAATCATCATCATCATTAATAGCGTGCGCGCGGGAAAGCTGCAGCCCTACAGCCGACTACAGCCCGGAGTCCGGAGTGCTGCCGTGCTGCCGTGCTGCCGTGCTACCGTGCTACTGTGCTACTGTGCTACTGCGCTAACCTGACAACTCACTAGCCACCATGGCTGGAGGAAGTAAGTATGATTTAACGTTTTGTTTGGAGCGACAGTCAGGATTTTTACCAAACCGGTCCCCTGATCCGCCACAGCGGTATTGAGGCTCGCGCTCCCCCTTTGAAGCAGCGCGCGGCCAGAGGGCTACCGCGCTCGCAATAGCCAACAGTAACGCTTTGCTAATACTCCGTATTATATGACATGACTTTAGGCCGAGTAATGAAAGTGTTACAACATTTCCATCGTTCGCAGAGCTTGGCTGTTGCAAGACAAGGCGAACCACTCGAAGATCGTAGATATGGACAATATGGCTGCTCTACCCAGAACAACAGCTTATCGGCGCGTTCGTCGTGCGGCGGAAAGCGATCTCAAACTTATACTGTCAGTTAGTAGAGAAAATGCAATGTGCTCAGCTGAAGGTTTGGATGAGGCTTCTGTAGAAAGGCCCGCTGGGTCGCCGGAACTAGTTGCAGGAGCGCCGCAAAAACACGCGGGATCGCCGGAACTAATTGCAGAACCATCACGTCTCTCGTATCAGCAAGATGTCCTGACAACGTGCTGTTTTTCTGAGACTGTGCCTGATACTCCGGAACCGGTCTTCGGTGCAAGCGCCATTCACTCGAGACGAGGCGTCCCTGTCGATTCGGAAGGCTTGCCTTACAGTCGTGAACACCATTTAGAAAGAGACAATCGAAGGAATGTCGAGTTGGATGAATTGTCTGAATCAGAGGAATCCGACGTTTCACGTTTCAAGGAAAAGCTGCGGCGGTGGAGCGTAGAGGGGGCTGTCCCTCATGATACCGTTACAAAGCTCCTGAAGATACTGCACTCGCATTCTTGTTTCTCAGACCTCCCAACATGTGCCAGGGCACTTTTGTCTACACCAAGAGTCACTGATAATGTGAGGCCCATGGATTCCGGCCATTACTGCCATTTAGGCTTGAGTGAGGGGCTCAGGGCAGCGCTGCAACCTGTGCGCAATATACCGGATCCAATAATCCTTCATGTGAATGTAGATGGACTACCATTGACGAAAAGCACGCGGGATCAGTTCTGGCCCATTCTCTGCCAAGCTGCTAACTGTGCAGGCAGTGACCCATTTCCAGTTGGTGTCTATCATGGCCAGTGTAAGGCTCTTCAGTCAAATGTCTTCCTTAGTCCGTTTGTGTCTGACCTGAAAGGTGTTCTCTCTGAAGGTGTTGCTATTGGCAACAGGGTCTTCCGAGTGCAAGTTGGAGCAATAATCTGCGACGCGCCTGCCAAGTCATACATTCTTGGCACCAAAGGGCACAGCGGCTACTTCAGTTGCTCAAAGTGCACGACTGAAGGAGAATTTGTGCGGGGACGAATGTGCTTCCCTGATCTTGATACTCCATTACGAACAAATGCTAGCTTTAGGCGTGCAGAGCAAGAGGACCACCACATCATGGAAACTATCTTAAGGGGGGACATGGGCCTAAATTTTAAATTTTTTTGAAAAAATTCATTTTTTAATTTTGACATTTTCAGTTTTAGGAACTAATTATACACCCTTACACCAAATTTGATAACCATACGCCAAATAGTTAAGTTGATATAAAATATTTTCAACACATTGTGAGGCAGTAACAAAGTAAAGGAGTTCAATGTTTGAATGCATTTTTCTCAGTTCCACTTTTTGCTGCAAATTTCATACGAAGGAATCTTTTGTTCGAAGGTGAAAGTATTCTGATACCACAATCAAGATGTTTCTGAACTGAAATTTACTCAGGAATTGGGCTATCTACTTCATTTTGTTTCAGGTTGTAGTCCTCAGTGATAAAAAACTAAGTTTTCAAAAAATGACAGAGGACAGATATGCATCTCATAGTTTGAGCTAATAACTCTTCCTGAAATATTTACATTTAAGTTATTAAAACTAGATAGCCCGAGGTCCTATATCCCCCACTTTATATTCAAGCAGTCAAAATGATGCTTAATAGCTTGATTTGCATATCATAGATTTCTTAATGAAAAGTGACACATCATCTTATGCAGGTATGTAAATTTGTCCCAGAGAGCTGAAAGTTTGCACAGTACACCTACATCTGAAGCTAAATCTCCCCTGCAAATTTCATTCTGATCACTTGAGTAGTTCAAAAGTTTGACCTCTAGCCAGTGTCCCCCCTTAAAAGAACTTCCCATAGATATTGTTGACCAGGTGCCACTTGACTATATGCACCTCATCTGTCTGGGTGTTGTGCGCAAGCTTGTACTCCTTTGGCTGAAAGGTGATAAAACCTACCGCATTGGAAGTGCATCAAGAGATTCTGTGTCAGGAGCTAACATTGAAATGAGGCACTATGTGCCATCAGACATGTCTCGGAAGCCACGCAGCTTGTCCGACATTGATAGGTGGAAAGCGTCAGAATTTCGCTTGCTTGTTCTTTACACGGGGCCAGCGGTGCTGAGGTCAAGGATCCCCAAGCCTCTGATGGACAACTTCATGACACTTCACTGTGCAGTCACCATACTTTGCAGCCCATTACTCTGTAGAGAGCACTTAGGGTATGCAGAAAGGCTCTTAAGGCATTTTGTTGAGACCTACATAACACTATATGGTAGACATGCAGTCTCTCACAATGTTCATGGCTTGATTCATGTGGCAAGCGACGTAAGAGTTCATGGACCTCTTCACAACTATAGTGCTTTCCCATTCGAAAATTACATGCGTAAACTCAAAAGCTATGTACGCAAACCAGAAAGGCCCTTGCAGCAAGTCTACAATCGAATCGTAGAAGAACGATTTTTGGTTGCATCTCCTGCTGTCAACACTGGAGAGTCGGCAGCATCGACTCCACCCGTCTCCTCTGTATTCCTTGGAGGAGAAAGTTTCAAGCTGACAGCAAGGCATGAAGGTCGACCATTGCCGCTCGGATGCATTGGACCTCAGTACAAGACCGTGACGTTTCCTGCTGGCATCACCATCAAAACAAACAAAAAAGACTGCACTTGCATGTTAAAAGACAAGAGTATCATCAAGGTTGAAAACATTGCACGCACTGCAGTGAACTATCAACCAGTGTTGGTTGGAAGGAGGTACCAGAGTCTAGAAGACCTTTACAGCTATCCCTGCAGTTCATCATTGCTGAACATCTTCCTTGCATCTGAACTGTCTGACATTCACTTCTGGCCACTTTCAGAAATTGCAGTGAAATGTGTGAGACTCCCATTGGCAAACAAATTTGCCGTTATTCCAATGGTGCACCTACAGTGAAATTTTTTTATGGCTGCTTGTTTATTAATAATCTTGTTTATGATATTGTTTGTAGATGAACTGGACAAGCTAGTTCGGTTTTAGTATGCTGCATTAAAGAGGGAAAAATAACTCGGTGGACATGCAAATGCTTGCCTTTCCTGCTTCGCTCAGGTGACAAGTTTGCTATTGTAGCATTTCCTGAAGAAGATCACAGCCTGGCCATTATTCACAAAACATGGCTCGTTGAAAGCACTGAAACGACATTTTGGCCTAAGAAAAAAAATCCTAACAAGCGTCGTCGAATGACAATCGAAGGCGTCAAACCACAAGACAGTTGGATGCAGGTCAAATGCCTGATCAAGGACTGGGCTGTAAATGCTTTTTTGCTCTAAATTCTTTCCAGTTCTCAATGCGTAAATTTCTTTCAGACACATATGAGAAGGCGCTGGAGAAACTTCAGGCTCTGGAGTATACGTCAGACTTCACTAGTGAAGAAGAGCTAGGTCGTGGCAAGCGAAAACGCCGTCCGACCTTTCCTTTTGACTATGATGACAGCACCGACACTACAGGTTCCGACGATGAATATGAACCACCAAAACCACCCACGCCACCCCAGCCACGGAAGAAAACAGGTATGGCATCGTGCATTGTTGGCGATGCTCTAGGACGGTTGAAAAAAATAATTCTTTGAAAACATCTAGTGTAACTTCAAACGGCTTACTACCAACTATTCCTCCTTTTCCAGGTGCCAACTTCTCTAAGTCACCTCTGCATCACTCTGGTGTGTATACCTTATGTCTCTTCAGTGCATGTTCAGGTACATGGATTGAGTAAGTGTGACTATTTCCTCTGCAGCCCTGTACGAAACTGTCACGTCCCAAGCCACATCCCAAGCACGTGCCCAGTCTTCACGCATGCAGCCACAGTACATAGGTAACTGCTTGTGCACAAGGTGAGTGTTCTGTAGATAATTTAATTTTGATTCCAGGTCTCGACAATGTCCAGCTTGTACACGCATCCCACACGAACAGGATGATGTCCCGCCCGAGCATCCAGCCTACAGGTAGATCTTGCAGCTAAAGTTATGTTTTATGGATTCGACTCCTTCCTTTCTCACACGCTCTTGAATTTCCTGTTAACATTTAGCATTTTGTAGAGAATCTGTTTTCAATTTCAGGTGATGACTTGGGTCCACCAGTGCACACACCATATGCGAACATTTTGCCCCATTCAAGTATCCAGCCCACAGGTAGATCTTACAGCGGAAGTTGCATTTGATGGATTTGACACATTTTTTTCTCGCATGTTCTCGGATTTTCTTTAAAGGAGCTGTGCAACGATTTTAACGTTGAAGGAATTGGCATTTTCTGCTTTTGATATTGTTCACTGTGTCACAAATGGCAGAAAACACACCTCTTTTCATCGCAATGTTGCGATTCCGCCGCGTAATAGCGAGGCAAAACTTGGAATATTTCCCGACCTGCAGCCACGAGCGGCGGCCATGAGAAACAAGCGGCGTGACGTCACTTGGGTCGTTGTAAGAAAGATAGCAAGTTGTGCGAATACCTGCTCGATAAAAGGTAACTCTTTTTACAAATCTTGTCGTTCCAACATATATATAAATGCGTCAACACCCTGGTATCATCGACAAAACTTTTATTATACGGAGTTTTAGTGGCGCCATCTATCCTAGGTCCACAAAACCGCGAACAGCCGCCAGAAGCCGGAGGGGGAGGGGGACAGCGCCACACTGGCAAGGACGGGTGGTCACGCGGTCGGCAGCGGATGAGTTCTCGCTGCTCGCTGATGGCTCTAAAGAGAGAACTTTTCCGGAACTCCGCGCCTACTCTAGTGACGTCACTGTGCACGTGACCCGGAAGACGATGCACGAGTTGAGAGGCGGCAAAAACCTGGATCTTTTTCATTTTTTTAAGTAAAAACTAGGGTATCCAGGCAAAATCTGTTTTCTGTAGTTCACTGCAGAAGTGTCAGGCATCAACTTCCACAATTATTTAAGCAAAGCCCTGAAATTGTTGCACAGCTCCTTTAACATTCGGCATTTTGTAAAAAAACTCTTTTTGGTTTCAGGTGTCCACAGCGTCCCCCCAGTGCACACTCTATACAGGAGCAGGACACCTCACTCAAGCATCCGGCCTGCAGGTATATCTTGCAGCTTAAGTGGCATTCAATAGATTTGACTCATTTCTTTCTCACCTTTTTTAAATATTTTTATAGCATTCAGCATTTTGTGCAAAATTGCTTGTCAATTTCAGGTGCCAATGATGTCCCTCTAGCGGTGGCAACACTGTGGCAGCAACACCACGGTGAGTTTTATTTTGTGAATGCTAAAGTTTTCATATCCTTCGAAATAACATCAAAGCTGAGAACTGTTATGTACTGACTGACAGACTGGCGCTTATCAGCTCGTGGCCACTCGAGGAGCGTGGGCACTGAGCGCCTGAGGCTCGGGGTGCGCGGGCTGACGAACGCCGGGCTCCGAATTGATTAAACCGATTTGACCAGTGGTCTCCTGTGAGCCGACTCGATGTAACAAGAACAGCATTTTATAAAATTTCAGATGCACCTGTAACCCCTATGAACATGTCTCACCCTGGCACTGGACGGGTAAACATAGATGCACAGGTGCCTGGTATGTAATATCGATTTAGATCTTCAATCAGAAACAAATTTTGCGATAGTGGTTTCTGGGCTTCTACTTCTTATGCTACGTGCATGACAAAGACGATTCGGAAAAGGTATTGTGTCTAGAAACGTTTTTTTCTAATGAGTGTGAGTTGTCGTGAGGGGCATGGCTTTCCTAAAACATACAATATATGTCAGGAGCAGTATTTATCTTAGTGTTTTTATTTAAAGAGGCACTAAGGTGGTTTCTGAATAAGATTGTTCTTGATGTTATTTTATAGGTGCCAGTTAATAAATATATCAAGTGCCAAATTACGAAACTGCCTATGTATCTCGAGGCAACAGAAATACATGCATACTATACACACTAGAGCAATGAAAACACTTGAATGTGTGGAGATTTTGACTGTTTGTACTATTATAGTTTGTTTTGAAAAGAAGTCCGATCCACACGTTCAGAAATCACGCCACTCGTTGGCTGCACGAAAAGCCATCGCTAGCAATTGGCTGACAAGCGCCCCTTGTTGGCTGCCTCACAATAATATTCATCTCAGAGAAGGGGGCGTGTAACAATCTTTAATCGTGTTTTTAGTAGGAAAATGGGCCACGCCTGATTGTGTAATTTCGGGTTTTCAGAACGCTTGGAGCACTTAGATTGAGTTATTGTCACTAAAGAACTCTCAGAAACTGCTTTCATACTCCTTTAACTTTGCTATATCACGGAGAGTTACTATTTCATGTTATGTCAACAGTTCTGCAATGAGGATGCTACTGTGGCTGCAAGCATCTCTGTTCTGTCCATTTCAGTGTTTATGGAAAGGATCCTGTTGGCACTGAATTCCATCAAGGTGACACAGCAGACTCACTCCGAGTACTTTAGCTTGCTGCTCAGAAACACCGAAGATGCCCCACTTGATCCAGAGGGCCTGCCGGACTTGCCTTTTTCTACAGTACAGGACTTCGTGCACTTCGACAAAGAGCTGGAGGTTGACAAGAGAGCAAGACTTCGTATGGTAAATGATGGTTATTCTAAACTAAGCTCTGTATTTTGCATCTATGCATGATTGAACTTTTTTTTTTGTTATGAGCAACTGTATTTTTGGAACTCCACCTTGTAAATATTCAGGTGATAAAGGTTTGCTTACCAGGTGCCAGAGTTCAGTTACAAGCATAGCTTATAATAGAACCTCATTAGATGCATGAACACAATTTCGTGTTAGTAATCACATTTCATGACTGAATTCCTGAACAGGTACTTCAGTGTTGTCAATAAATTCTTATTTTTTAAGTTTAGATATACCTAACTTTAATTTGCATCATGTGTATATGTCGGTCACTCTTACAGTACCGAGAAGGCGAGTCAAAATTGGGCGGAAATGATCTCATAGTGCCCATACTTCTAAGCATGTGGTTTTGTTTCTAAGATTTATGTGCATCCGTAGGGAAGATGTTCCTGCTATGCCATCAAAATCGATATCTCAACATAGCTATTAGAACTATGCTTATGAAACCACACTATGCTATGCTTATGAAACCACACTAAGATTGTGATATGCTTAAAATTCTAAATGAGTTAGTAGTTTAATGTTAGCCCATATTTCTGATCTGATTGCTGTTTTGATTCTTTTTTACCAGAGACAACACATGTTAGTTCAAGGAGGTGATACACCTAAAGAACGGACCACCCGAATTTTGAGAAGTATACTATCTTCAAGTGTCGCAGCCGAGTACAGCTGGTGTGGCGCCAAGGGAAAACACAAGTTTTCTGATCTCAACATCTGCAAGCTCCTGTGTAGTAAGTTAGATATCTGAACCTGCACAAGTGCAATTCTTAGTATGTACTGAAGTCTAATATAAAAGAATAGTGCAAAACCTTTTTGGAAAATTTGGTATATAACTTGATATAAGAGTGTAACAAATGAAATAATTAGAGCATATTTTCCAGTGTGTAAGTCACTTTTTTTTCCCAGTGTTACATTGATGTTCTTATACAGCAGAGCAGTTTATAACAGGCACCTGCACTTGTCCCGCCACCAACCACCGAAGAAAAAAAGACATGTTCTTATTTCTTTAAAATGGTACACAGTAACGGTCCTAGATCCACGAGACGTAGCCTTCAGGTACCGTGGATCGGCTTTTCCACATAATCAATGCCCGGGAATGTGATGGCTACCTGTAGAAGGGTTTTGTATCATTTCATAGATGCACGTTTCACTGACAACTTTTTATTGACACACATTTCATTGGCACTGCTTACACAAAGCACATGCCGCTGCATCATCTAGCTGTTCTGGCTACTTTGAGCACCAGTTTTTATTTAGAAGCAGTCCTTGCAACTAGTTTCTGTTCATGAGAGTAGTACCAGTTACTAGCATCTTGAGCTAGTCACTTACTATTTCGCCAGGTGGATTGCATTGGACTTTTGGCTTTATTTTGCTGATTCCGGCAAGCTAGGCCTTCTAACAGACCGCGTTGTGCACTGTCATCCCTTGCTTCACTCCGCTTGGGAGTTTAACATCCCCTCCGGCTCCCGCCTTTGGTGAGCCTGTTTGGAATCGCCAAAGGCTTAGCCGGCTAGGATAGTAATGGGGATGGCGGAAACAGAATGTCGGCAGAGAGGCTCCGCTTTATTACATGCCAACAACATCCAGGCCACCAAAGAAGTACATGCAAGGCTATGTCGCGAAGAAGAGGCTGTCGAAGGATCTGTCAATGAAATAGCATTCGATGAACTGATTGCTACTGCTGTAGAGTGACGCAGGCACATCAAAACAAATTTGCTTCAAGGGTTGTGTTTCTCATTTGGTTTGTTTGCAAGAATAATGAAATTGGTTCCTGCTTATGCATACTTCGCCTGAAGTTGTTGATATGGCAGTTAGCTTGACTGCATAATGCAGCTCACATTTTTTCTGCCAGTCTAAAATATCTTGCTGAACTTGACAACAACTTTTTTATATGCAGGCACCCTCACCTACCGTCAAAACTTGGAAGAAGCCAAGGCAACTAAGAAGGACATAGAAAAAGCAGGCATGTCGTGGCTCCGTCATGCTGCTGAGCGGGCAGCGGCAGAAAAAAAGTCCATGGGAAGGAAGGACGGCACACCATTTACACTAGACTAAGAGATCACTTCAACAGGGCAGCCCTTTGAAAGGAACTATGCAAGTCTGTTTCTTAACGTTTTGCACTACAATTTGCAACAGCGGTGCCCGCAGGGAGTGTGGTAATGTATCTGGAGAGCTACATTTTCAAAGAAACAACTTAATTGAGTAAAAGTTTAAAAGTCTGAATGCTTTTCTCTACATATGGTGTTTGCTTGCTTATGGCACACATCTGATTGTTGCAACAGCTGATAAACTGCAGCAGCAGTTCACAAATAAAATACTCGCATAGCATTTTTGGTTTGGAAAGACCGTCTGCTTTGACCGAGGGGGCCGTATGTCGGCTGTTTCACCAGCCAGACTTGTGACGTTAGGCGAATGCTGCAGATAAGGAGAAGACATTCCTATTTTTTAACTTTCTTCTCAGGTAAAGCCATTCATTGAAATTTGGATGGAAAATTTCACCACCTACGGATACCAGTGTCGTAAATTGTAGCACAGTACATTAAGACAACAATTTATACAGTTCCTTTGAAGTGCCTGTATGTAAGATGTGCACCAATTTTTTTTTGGCAATTCACTATCGATTCAATATTCTAACAGCCATTCTGGCATTTCAGTTTCGTGATACTTTATACAAGATGTGTTTGTCACACTTGTTTACACTACTCTTTTCTATGCAGTTCATGCATTTTTTCCTGTATTAAGCAAGTTCAGAGTCACTGATGTCACTTGCTTTTAGTATAAATTTAGCTATTCAGTGCTCGACTGCTATTGTAGACTTTGTGCATTATTTAATGTAGATGTCTGGTCTTGCTGACCTTGGTCACATGGCAATATTTTTTCTAGATTTTGCCAAAGTAACTCTTTTGCACGACTTGCATACAATCATTATACACTGTTGGCACCTAAGCTGAAAGGGGGTTAGTCATTTTTACTGGCATTACTGTCCTGCAACTTGCATTTTTAGTACTTGGCATGTACTGCTTCTATGCCTTGCCATAACTGTATTTCAGTTTTAGATAATGTGTTATTTTTTTTATAATTAACAACTCTAGTGCAATACTGTGATAACATATTCTATGTTTCTGCACTTCAAAGGAAATGTTTGAGTGATATGCAGAAGTAAGCATTCTAGTGAAATACTGTGATAATATGAGGGGGCATCAAATCGTTTCTGAACTGGCATCACTGAACAAAAACAAGTACAGCAGTGTGACACTTCCTGACAAGCTTGCAGTCTGTGCCGAAATTTACTGTGCAGGGCGAGAGTGATCTCTAGCTGTGCTTGTTTGTTCAGAAGGGATTTTGCAACTTTCTCACCGTGAAACACAAATGAAAAACTCGAACCACGTCCATACATCATTTTCTGTGAAAATTGAGAAGAACACATTAGAAACTCAGAAACTCCGTCAGCAAGCATTCAGTGACTGATCTAGGTTACACAAATCTGTGAGTGGCATGGACATTTTAAGTGAGGCTGAGAATGGCTTGAAAACAATGAATCAAGAGGATGCCCTCCAACAAACCTAACATTTAAAAATGCAGAAAAAATCCTCGTTAATTCAGTAACACTTTCTGAGAACGATTTCGGACATTGCTGAACAACTCAACATTATTTATGGTTCAGCAATATCCGAAATGCGCTTCCGACGGTCATCGTGAAATAACACATAGATTTTTTTTCGGCATTCTGAAATGTTATGTTTCTCGGAGGGCATTCTCTTCATCGTCTCCAAGGAATTCTTGGCCTTGCCTAAATGTCCATGCCACTCACTTATACATGTTTTTACTAAATCATGGTCACCAAATGCTTGGTGAGGAGTGTGTGGTATTTTGACATGTTCTTCCCAATTCTCACAGGAAATTTGGTGTAAACGTGCTGTTTGAGCTTTTTATTTGCCTTATGCGGTCAGAAAGTTGTGAAATACCTTTTAAACAAACAAGCATAGCTCGGAATTCATTTTGTCACCACACAGTGACTGGCAAGCCTGCTAGGAAGGGTCAGGTGTGTCGCACTGTGGTGCTGCATTTTCTTTTTGTTCAGTGGTGGCTGTTCAGATACTTATTGATGCCACCTCATATGTTTTTTCTCTGTCTTTGCTTTTTACATTGAAATAATAAAGGTTTATTTGTTTCGAGACTTGTGTGGTCTTATCCCACTGTAGTGTAAATTAGTACACCAGTATGAAAATATACAATGTCCTATATATGTCCTAATAAAGTCCAGGAAACATCCTTTCCTGGACATCCTGAGGACGTCCTTTGGCGTTTCACTTCGGATGTCTTCTGGACATTATTCGGACATCCGCAGGACGTCCCTAATGTCCCAGTCGGGACATCCTTTGGATGTCCAGCGGATGTCTGTGTGTTGTCTGGGGTATAGCGGGCTTCGGGACAATCGCTTTCTTGGCACCTCAAGGTCGGCGTAAATACGCGTGTACATTCGGCGATCCGATCTAGACAGATGTCGGCGCTTCGGCGTATTTCGGCATGGCGTACCTGGAAGCGTACGACGCGGTGCCGGCCAATCAGCTTGCGAGTTGACAGCCGGAAGTTGCTCGAGGATCGGCTTGCCTAGCTGTGCGGCCGGCTGGCTGGCTTGACTCAGCCACCAAAACGGGTGCTCGCTGGTTCCGATCGACGGTTTATCGGCAAAGAGTGCGAAATCGTTTTTCGCCTAGAGATCGAACCGTGTCGCAACCGTGCGGTCGAAATTGGAAACATGCGAAAGCGGGGATACCGCCGTGCGTCGTCTGCTACAGGCGCACGTTCAGAAGCATGGATCTTGACGACGCAAGTCTTTTCCAGCTGAGCTGAACCCTCCTCATTAAACGCTTGTTTTTCCTCTTGTTTCTTCCTACTGAATGTTATGATTAGGGGTCTGCGTTTTCGGCGTTCATTTTTTTTTTTTCTTATCAAAATTGGGGGTTTAATTTTTAAACTCCGGTTAAACTCCGTTTTCGGAGTTTAATGTTTTGCTGCAGATTCTTTTTTTTGTGTTTGTAAATTTGTTATGACTTAACCAATTCACATATAAAACACTGAATCTGTAGGAGAAAATTAAACCCCTAAAAAAACAAATAGCCCAAATTTTGAGAGAAAAAAGAGACACTGAAAACGCAGAATTCTAGTTATGTCGTATCATTTTACATGCGCGAAAATTCAGTAAAGTGATTATTATTAAGTCGGATGCTTCTATAACGTTAGTGTTGTGGTTTGTATACAACCGCTGACCCCATATACTTTAGTTAATTCGCACAAACCATAGCTTTCATAAAACATTGAATGTTGATTGGAGCTGTGGTTTAATTTAAAAAAAAACAACTAATCGCTACTTTTCAATTGACTAATCAATTGATAAATCCGCTTGTTGATTTTTCATCGGTCATATAGACCTTTGTCCGGAAGTGCTCTTTTTAGCCTCGACCGCAAGGAGCGAAAGCGAACAATAATCTCGAACCCAGACGCTCACGGGGAGGGGGGGCTGCGTCGGCCTGCGCCACCGGCTCCTGTTGAGGGCTTCTTCGCTGGTGTGCCGACTGCCGTTTCGCCGGCATCGGTCCTGTTTACCGCGGTATGTGAGTATAGTGCCCGTAAAGTGAGAGCCGTGTGTCCATACGCCACTTTGCCGTTGTTGGTTTTCGTCTAGCCGAGCCAGAAAACATCTCGCGACGAGTTGACCGCGCCGCGAGTGACGAAGAAGCAAACATGGCGACGGTTTGTGCGATTGCTTTGGTGGCTCCGGTGTTGAGTGTCTTCAACGTCCTCGTGAGAAGGTTCCCCTGCCCTTCGAAGTTATTGCAAGCACCACGAAAGATGTGGAATCATCGTCTCAACTACAAATAAGCAGGCCTTCACGAGCAACAACGGTGCCGAGCAGGCGCTCGGCACATTTGTGTCAGGCTCACGCAGCCAGCGGCACAGTTGTGTTGGTTGTGTCGTCAGATGTTCAACAACGCCGAGGTATTTTCATTTATCATTTGGAATGGCTTCAAGAGTGGGAAATTAATCTATTTCGCGGATTGTTAACGCCGAGGCGAGTGCCCTCCGTTGCAGTGCCGTCGTCGCGCAAAGTACAGAGAAAACCGGGTGGCGATGGCGGCGGTGCTCTTTGATCTTGCGCCGTCGGGTTCATGAAGTCCGGAGTAAACGTACGTACGTGCGTCTGCTGGATCGGTGTTTTGGACTTCCTCAAAACTTTCTCACGCGCATTTTCCTTGTGAAGCTTTGTAGCTCATTACACCTCATCGTCGACTGCGCTCATTCGACTACGACGGACGAGCCTGCGTGATGTGAATTTCACTGCCTAAGATCCTTGGTGTGCTGTAACGAGGGCTAATAAAATATCACCGCGAACTTCTGAACAAACGAGTCGAAGTTTCGTCTGCTATCATAACTGATCGCCTGTCACAATATTAATCAGTAGCGTTCCTAGAACAGTAGCGTTCCTAGACCCCCACAGGCACCGTGCTTCGTTGCCCGATAGTAAGTGTCTCCTGGTACCTCGTATAATTCCAGCTCCCACTTCAAGTAAGTACCATCCTTTAGAACTGGCAATTAATAGTTTCGAACCCAGACGCTCGCAGTGTGTGTTTGTGTGTGTGTGTGTGTGTGGGGGGGGGGGGGGGGTACGGGACGGGACGGACGCGTGCTAACATACTCGGAGCCCTCGTTTACGCCGCTTCGCAGCGGCAGACAAGGCGCCACATTACAAAAGAAAGCTAATTTGAGCTGTCTATGTAACTAGACCCATTCGCTAGTCATTCGATGAAACGTCGTCGTCTCGTTTTCATTCGCTAAAACTGCGTTCGATCAAGTGAACGCCTCGCACTTATTTCGGCTCGGCAGAGCCGCGCTGCCGCAGAAAGGCAAGCAGATCGCGAAAATCGGTCTCAAACGTGCCACGAATGTAATGTCGTATACAAGAAGCCAACAATCAAGCATTTGAAAGCTACAAGAAAGCAGTAGCGAAATATTTACTACGCAATGAACCCGGACTGAAACGCGGATGTCAAGGGTCAGCAGACACCGAGAACATCTAAGACAAGAAAGGTTTTCCCTTATTTTCCTTGATCGAGATGGGTTCTCGAATGTTCACGGCATCTTGCCTATTGAAGAACGGGCCGCAGAGGCTTCTGGTGAAGACATCTTTCACGATGTGTCGGTTCAGGTGTCGTCCCAATCCGGCTGACGCCTCAATTCGGCTATTGCCTCAATTCGGCTAGAAGTTTCAATTCGGCTGGACGTTCCAGTTCGGCTACATCCTCAATTCGGCTAGATGTTTCAATTCGGCTGGACGCTCCAGTTTGGCTAAATCTTCAGTTCGGCTACAAGTTTCAATTCGGCTGCATGCTTCAGTTCGGCTAGATCCTTGTTTCAATTCGGCTGGACGTTCCAAGTTGATCAAGCTAGACATCCAAGCATAAGGTGCCCCCAATTGTTTTAGAGAGACGTTAACTATATCTGCATCTTGCCTTAACATTGCAACGTGCAAGCTCAGATCAATAAGTTCAACCAGCTATGAAGGCTTTG